AATAGAAATACTGATGTGTAACTAGGAAGAAATTCAAATGCATTGCTGCACTCATCAACAAGGATTTGGATCAAACACCCTGTACAGGTTATTGAAGATGTATCCACACAACCCTTGAAAAATTGGCATGATGGGATTCTTGGATCATTAAAAGACAGGCCTGATTAACCACATCAGCTTGATTCCAAGCAGTATGTAGAAAACAGAGCTGTTCTTTATTCAATTTACCATTTCCATTTCTTTGGTTTGAGCATTCTGTTCAACAAGAAGATGTGTTCCACGTTCGCCGCCATCACCAACACTTGTGACAGGCAATGGGGATGACTTATCTATTATAAAAAGTTGCGTAGGAATGGCAGAAAATTGTTTACAGTTAAAAAATGCACTGGAACTGAAGAAGTACATTTTTTTGCAGATTCGTCTACATCATTATTGAGAAAGCAGTTGTAACTACAGTATGTATCAGATAGTGAGAAAACAGAGTGTAAAGTGATTAAAGACAGGATTTATATTATTATAAAGAAAGCTTTGGGAAAATAGTGGGTTACATAGGAAATATACAGTACTGTATATATAATGGAAATTCTTCAGCCCTGATTGTGCTTCTATGACATCAGGACATGTACAGATACAGTAAGTGTGATTGAGCAGTGAATGAAAAGGTAATATGTCTGCAAATGTACAGGACATATATTGCTGCTCCCTTTCCAGTCCCTCTCTCCCTCAGTGGTGCTGGACACAGAGAAGCCATTCCATTTGGTTCAGATTGTTACTCATCCTCCACCTCAATCAGCCAATCAGGAACTGGTAGGGCAGGGTAACCCCACATGGGTATTGAATGCCCGCGGAACTTTAAACCAATGAACGACCATAGTTCCTCCAGATAAAACAGGCAGCACAGGACCCAGAAGGTGCCCCTCCAGGACATTCTCAGACTCAGCACAGACAATCACGTGACGGCCAATGTGTCCGAGTGCCAGGACTTTGTTCTAAGAGTCGAGACCAGAGGTCACCCACGCGTAACCAAAAGATCCACCCGAGGTTAGCCCAACAGCAAGCCACGTGAACCGCCAGTACCCCACCACAAACGCTCGATTGATCAACAAGTGAACTACGGTCGGAACTGTCAACAACTGAATCTCAGTATTCAGGACAAGTGCTACATTGGGAACGAACCGGTCTTCTTCCCGTCTAAAGAGTGTGACTTGCTTGGACCCGCAGTCATTTTTCATGTGCACAAACTCTTGCTAGCTAACTAGCTTAGTCTTCAGAGAGTAACTGCCAATGCGATGCAGCAGGAATCTCTCCTTCCTTCTCCCACATCTCACGCCGTACCAGCACTGCCTGGCACCGGGCCAGAGGACGCAGATTGGACGCAGCAACAAGCTGTAAAATCCTACTGTATATAAACCTTAAGGCTCAATAGCCCATGACAGAGGAAATAAGACTAAGGTACTGAATGTATTATGACAAAATGTATATAAGGCACAGTAAGGACAGTTAAATGACTGACAATGATTTATAAAGTAAAGGAAAATTTGATAACACACCAAATTCTACATTTTTCCAAACTTAAAGCCTATAATACAGTATGTTGTGGCTTATAACAAAGGTTTTTCAGTGTAAAATGTATCATAATATTAAACTGCGTTTGTTTTTTCAGGATTTCTTAAGTGGTTAACAGGATTTCATTCATGAGTTTATTTCAGAGTAAAAACTTCCTTAGTGCTTTCATTGGAATTATATTACTGTGGTCTATACAAGTAAATTAAGGTAAAAACATGACAAAACTGAAAAAAGACTAATAATTGCTTACACTAATATATTGTAGTATAGTATATACTGTAAGTACACTACTGTAATATACACTCCACTCAAAGCACTTTACAGGTAATGGGGACTCCCCTCCACCATCATCAATGTGCAGCATCCACCTGGATGATGCGACGGCAGCCATAGTGCACCAGAACGCTCACCACACATCAGGTATCAGCAGAGTAATGAAGCCAATTCATAGATGGGCATTATTAGGAGGCCATGATTGGTAAGGGCCAATGGGAACTTTGACAAGGTAACCAGGTTACACCCCTACTCTTTTCAAATAGTTTTTTTATGACCTCAGTTTTACATCTCATTCAAAGGACAGCACTATACTATACTGGGGCATTAGGACCCACACAGATTGCAGGGTGAGCACCCCCTGCTGGCTCCACTAACACCTGTTCCAGCAGCAACCTTAGTTTTTCCTAGGAGGTCTCCCATCCAGGTACTGACCAGGCTCACACCTGCTTAGCTTCAGTGGGTTGACAGTTGTGAGTTGCAGAGTGATAAATTTACCATGTACACTTTTATGTAGATAGCCTTGCAAAGAAATAGCCGGGTTCTGGTGCAGTTCTACAGAGAGACACATTGTTCTAGGTGCTGTGATATTTTGTTAAAAACACTTGCATAGATAACGTCATTATTTATAATTTATTATTATTCAAATGTATCATTAATAGTCTACAGTAAATATCAGAAGCTAGCAGCATACTGTACATGGCCACCACTGGAAGTAATGCATGTTGTACGTTTTATATATAGCAGCCATAAAGAAAGACAAGCAATCAATTACAGTTGACCACATTTGTTGAGGGAGATCAGTATTTTCTCATATGTACATTGATCAAATGATAACTGGGCTCTAGGGCACTGCTGTAGACGGCAGTTTGAATCTTTATTTAAAGTTACAGCTTTCATTGTCTGGTGATGTCTCTTCAGAAGCTAATGTGCAGCCCCTTCCTTGTGAAATGCTACTGTTAGTTGAAAACACTGGTTTCTCTCTCTGTACAGTATCTGCCTTGTGCATTTTCTTGTCTCTTTCAGTACTGCTCCAACACCACCTCCTGAGCAGCATCTGTGGTTGTTTGGCTTAGATGCTGCTAGGGGTATCTTAATTGTTTTGACATGAGTATTTGCTCATTAGATTTGAAGTCTGAGGGAATATCTAAATAAATTAGGGAAATAAAGAGGAATGTAGCCTCAAATTGGCATGTCTTTACATACAATGCATTTGTGTAAGAGCATACATTCACAAAATAGCACAGGTGAGCAAATTTAATGAATTTGATGCTTTTAATTAAAATCAACAATACTTTTTCCTGTCTGTTACGCGGTGCATAAGCAATAAAATTGAGAACAATATTTGGTGGTTATACTGGCAAATCATTCTGGTTTTAATTAGTTTTCAATAAAAAAGATTAAAGAATTTGTATAAGTAAACTGAAATAAATGGAATGCATTTCCAAAATATTTTTTTACAAAAATACTACTTTCTGCTTATTAGTATATTTTATCCAATGCAAATCCCAATCATATTGTCCATTCAGAAATTATTAGTAGTATTTCCAGTGTTAAACAAATGCTAGAAAAGGAATTAACATAACCCCTGTCCCCACAATGCACTTAAAGAATATTCAATGGCATGAAATCAAACCAAACATACTACTATGCATCCAAAGAGAACAAAGTAGTGAATGGCTATAAGCTGTGTCTTACAATTTGTAATTTTAAGGTTACAGAAAAACTGAATCAGGGAAAACACTGGTCAGATACTTATTAATATCTTATGTATATCAGTATTAAAGAATAACTTCAGAATTCAAAATATATATAAAGATATAAAACACCATCATCAATATAGTCTGTAATCTGTAATCATTGAATCAATAAAAGCATGTTGGTATGTACTGTAATTTATTAATCTCAGTGTCTAAATTGCCAATAGAAACTATAACAGAATTAATTAGAGGCAGTTGTAAGAATTAAACCTGGTTAAATAAAGTATCACTTCCATGTAGTAGAAGTATATCATTTTGAACTGTCAAAATTGGTCATGTAGTGCAGACAAGGTCTGTTACTCCTACATCTTAAAAAAGAACCTTTAAATTGTGTTCTGTTTTACAACTAATATGCTAAGCCACGTTTCAATAAGTAGTGATCAAATGCAACATAACAGATTTTAGGTACATGGTTGTAAAAACACTCCATAAATGATGACACCTCTTGAAAAATACCAGTAAGTGTTCTTTAGTAAACCTTTTTTTTTTGCTGTCAGCTTGAAGCAATCAGCTGTAATGGACATGACAATACAATACTAGTAAAACTAACAGCAGATCTGTGCCTAAACTATAGTGAGATCGTAATACATGATAAACCAAAGATGAATGGCAAATGATTGTCTAATGTCTCATCACTTCAAGAAAACAGATCTAAAATGCAAGGCAATGATTTCTAAATTCTTTATGAATAACAGTGTTACAATTAAAAGTTCCTAAAAACAACTGGAGAGGCTAAAAGAAGCACACACAGAAATATAGATTAGCTCTTATGCTGCCTAACAAAGAATTCAAATGCAAGATCAAAATGGTAAGAGGCCACATTTATATGATTACCACAGACTCCCGACAGGGTAGTGCCACAAGTTCCTTCAGTGCTTGAGGATTCTCCACACTCTATTGTACCAGACTTTAACTTGATAAAATATTCTAGAGAACCTCTTCCAGTAAATATAAATGGACTCTAGGACTGTCTCCCAGAGAATGAGAATTATGCATCAATGTCTCTCAGCTTGGCAGCTAGACAGCTGTTGTAGTTACAGTACACTCACAAAAGCAGCAACTAAGAAATCAAGAAAATTTAAAGAAACATATAATTAAAAAAAGGAACAGGCGTCCAGAGTACAAGACTACATGGGAAAAAAACTATAGAACTTCTTTTAAGTGACACATCCCATATAAACAGCGTGGTTATCTCCTAAACCAAGGAAAAAAACAACACTTCAGCACATAATGGATATGCAAAAGGTCAATTTATCAGCTCTCTAACTCTTGGGTCCACATTACTGACTATATGTTAATGCTTGCCTCTTGAATATGAGATAAAGGGCTATCTGCACACTGTTTATTGGGAATTGTGTTCACCATAAATCATGCACTGAAGAGACAGGAGAGATAACTCACCTTTCACTTTGTTTTTCGTTGCAGTTGCTGGGATCGCAGGGGGAAGGGAGAAAGGAAGGGGAAGAACAGACAACAATAGATTAGGGGTTTCATTAGGCAAGAATGGAGAGAAACAATATTCAGTGCAGATTTCAATCTCATACAAAAGCAACATTCTGATCGAATTTGTTCACTTTATTCAAAGATGTATCTTTTCCCTAAGAGTTGTGTCAGAAGGATTTTGACTAACAATCAGATCCCTGACCTTGCGCTTAATGGTGAAGAAAAGTTAAAGTCTGAACATCATTTTCATCCAGTTTATGTTATACAGTACCCTTTCCTTCTGTATAACCAAAGAAGAAAATCAAGTGACGTTTCTGAATTGAGCAATTGTGTTTTATTGCTACATTTGCTGTAAATATTGGACACATCCACCAAATCTATACAGGGTTCTTTCCATTAAATGTTTTAAACACTTTTTTCTAATCCAATGCATCTTAGCCCTAAAATAGACAATGTTCTTCTCTAAAGGAATTTAATACGAATTGGAAACAGATATTTTCAGTGGGAGTAGTTTAATAAAAACAAAGAACACACTGTTTCATGTTTTTTTTGGAAGTCTGTTACTGTATGTTCATAAAATGATCTTTTAGAAATTCTTGCTTGAAGAACAAAAGGTGACATTTTTATCAGAAATTGACTTCATATAATAAAAGCTAAAGTTCAGGTTTACAAAGGAAGAATATAACAACAAAAAGTTACTGTTATGATCACTGTCCTGCAGCTTCCCTTGGCCCGCAGTTACCCTGGAAAACTAACATTCTCACAAGGGCTCATGGTTTTCAAGGGCTTGCTGCTCTGACCAGACTTGGTGATCTGTCCCCATGAGCAATTATGATTTTAATTATTAAATTGCTCTGTTTCCCTATTTAATGATGAGGCACCGCTTTCACCCTGTCTGCAGTTCTCTCTCCACTCTCTCCATTATTCTCCAGTTCAGCGGACTGAACCTTCAGTTTCAGTTCCAAGTCTTCACTCCATCCTGCATTGCGGCTCCAGTTCCATGTCTTCACTCTGTTCTGCATTTCAGTCTGCACAGCAGCTCCTGGTCTTTGCCCTGGAACCCTGAGCTCTATTCCGCTGGCCTCCACTTCTCCGTCAATTGTCCAACTCACTTTTGGGGGCAGCCTCCGTCATCCAGAATGCCAGGTTCTTTCCATGCAGTCAAGGTAGCATCCCCATTTCTGTCCCACAGAGGGTCCTGTACACTGGCACTCTCTTCGACTGCCGCCTTTTTTGGCTTCGCTTTAGGACACTCTTGCTCCAGATCTTCAGGACTCTTTCCTATTTCTCACCCTCTTTTCTAGGGCTGTCTGGGTCACATTTTTCTATTCTTTCCTTCTTAGCCATTTTTCAGCTCCCAGCAGAGCCCTTCCCTTCCTTCCTAGGGAGCCAGGCAGTAGAAATCTGCTCTGTGACAGAAAGAGCAGCATCCCGTTAGCCTAGACTCCCTGAGAGTTCTTGAGCTTCCTGGCTCCAGCTGGGAGCTCCGCTCCACAGCTGTGTTGACCCTGGACTCTGGAAGTTGAGAGGGGACTAGAAAAGGAGTCCCTTCATGACACGCTTCCTGCAGACATCACCCAGGTTTGGTCCAAATGCCACCTGCCTGCACCTACTCTTTTTTTTTATGACCTAGCTAGGCAATCCTTGCTCTGCCGGCCAGTATTTCTTAATTGTTTCCTTGTAAATTCCATTACAAGGGAGGCAGTCCGTCTGCCTGCACCCTAAGCTATTTAGAGAGGCTGCCCACCAGGGCCGTGTGATCCCCCTTTTCCGTGAGCTTTGTCTTTGCCTTTTCTCTTTCTCTGCCCTGCAGGACAGTGATCTATTATTCTATTATTATTCTAGGAATCCGTTCTGAAGCCGAGAGAACGATACCCCAAGATCCGAGGCTCTCGCATTCCGATTGACGGGCTGAGGTGGGCAGTTTGCCATGCCACCTTTTTTCCGTTTTTTGCCTGGGATGCAAATGCTCTCAGACCCATGTCTTTGCCTTTTCTCTTTCTCTGCAGGACAGTGATCTATTATTCTATTATTATTCTAATAATCTATTATTCTCCCATTGCATTACTGCTGTCTAATCTGTCAGGACACTCCACCACTCTCTGGTCCCTGACCAGTCACCATCCCCTCAGCTGTATCCAGCTGCATTGTAACAGTTACTCTCTATAACTTCACTTTGCAAAATGGGACATTTCTTTATTTCCCATTCATAAGTAAATTACTATCTCTTAACAAGTCTGATTCAGGAAAACAATCAGGAGTCTGCATCTAATTTAATTTTAATTTTAATTTAACAAACGGAACAGTAATATTAAATATGTGATATGTTAAGTAATTTTTGGTAATGAAAGATATGTGATTAGAAGATGATGTGTTTCATGTGTTTCATATTCTTCAAAAAAGATCTTTCTACTCTACTGGTTTTAGTCACTAGTTTCATGTTTAAAAAACTGCCTATATTTCTTTCTCCTTTAAATAGGAATGGCTTAGCATTTTAAAGATTTTACTGTGAGAGCTGTAAATGATGCCAAAGCTAAACTTTAAAAGGATAATGTAATTTTTCATTAATCTAGCACAAAAGCATGTGTTATCTACAGATCAGGGTCCTCAAATGAAGAGTCTGTCAGCCAGCACACATTATATATTACTGAGTGAATAGAATTGCTACCACCAACAGTATAACTGAAAACTCATTATTTTTGACACCAGAGAAACTTTTTTTCCACTTCTTACATGGAAGTTATTAATCTCTGACATCCTCTCTGGTTCCTAAATCTAATAGTGTTGACAAAGTCAGAAATGGGGATAAGATTCTCTTGGCTGTGCTGAGAGGTTTGAAATTACTCTGTAGGCATACCAATATATTTGTCAACTGCTTTAACTACAGTGCGTAAACAATCTCAGGATTCTTCTCTATACTTTAAGTTTTTTTTTTTTATTCAGCATGTTTACTATAACTGTAAATATCTCCAAAACCTCCAAAAAAGCAATAACACTAAATTAAGTTTGCCAAAACAAATACAAAGTTCTGAAACATCTTCAAGGATGAGCACATACTGCGTCTCATGTTCATGGCAAAATACCACAATTTAAACAGAACACAAAAGTTTCCTTTTAAGCGAGTGAATTGTTCAGCTTTTTGCCTAAAGCATCAATTGTTGTTTATTGAAAAATAATTTAAAATGTGTTTGATATTGCAGTGCTCATAAATTAAGTAGTGTCTCTTGCTGTGCATATAGCGGAGCAAAATGCTCCAAAATAATTGGCTTTCTTTTATTGTTTTATATAAGTATAATATGAACGCAATTATTAAACACTTTGATGTAAATAACTACTCAATTGTTCTATTTACCTCCATTCAAATGGAGTGAAAGAAGTTAATAAGTTTCATGCTTAAATGATTTTTGGTTATTGATTTAAGCCAATTGTTTGAGCTGAGTCATAAAGACAAAGCTTACACTATTTGGAATGAACCCAGGATCTGGTGTGAGGTCTATGACAGAGTGGAAGAAGGCATGCAAAGAAACTAACTTTGAGAAGTTGTACTAGAAACGGATACCTGTGCTTAGGTGAGAGGAGGCAGGTGAGGTGAGGTTTAGGACGTTCTAATGAAACTTTGTTTAGGTTTAAGTTCCATTCCGTAAGTGCATGAAGATTCTTTCCTTTAAACTGTTAGGTACTTTTAATTGTATAATTCAATTTTCAAGTCAAATTCCAGAGAGATAATAATTAGCCCTCGCAAAAACAGTATGGAATGTATTTTATATCTTTGTGTCAAGAAATGCAAAACGCTAAACTCCAATTTACAAAACGTAACCTCCACTTACAGTCAGATGATAATAAGAATAAAAAATAATTTATTTTCCAAGACATGCTTAACTGTCTCTCTGATACAGTGCCTTTTTGTAGCACTATGCTTTTAAGTCAAGAAGCCCAAAGCATAACAAATGGGGTGAGAGCTGCTTTAGACCTCGTAGAAGATACTGCCAAATTTCTTTCAGTTAAAATGGACCTCCCAGTCTCTAGGTTTCAGTGTGGCTCTTGACCTTCAAGTAGATGTATTTCCCCGTCTAAGGTTTCCAGGGCTACAGTTCTATACTATAAGCCTGAATGCATTTCTTTTCTGGCAGACCTTTCCTGCTCTGAAGTTGCAGCCATGAGACTTAACTGCATGTGCTGGTCCCCATGGTGATTTGTTTAACAGACCATCATGTGTCTGCTACATATTGTACTGCAGATAACAATTTTGCCCACCCTACAACTGGATATTTTCCACCTTTTTCAATCATTTTCCTAAAAGACTACCTTTGGTATTCAATGGCTCATATTCCAGCTAGTACTAGCCAAACTAACATTAAACTCAATATACAGTATACCCCCAAAAAAGAAAACCTCAAAAAGTGATATCTGGGTTTGGTTACAACATTTCAGATTTGTTTAATGCAACATTTGTCTTCTGTGTTATACAGCACATGTTATACAGCATATTCCTGGATTTTGGATCCTAGGTTACGAAATTACAAAATGATGCAAACACTATTATTTAGTAAATTATTCAAAACCTTTAATGTTCAATCTTAATACTTATATGAGTAACTTAAGTTACAGTAAATGTCAGGGAAAATAGAGAAAAATAGAGAAAAAAAATGAAATTGGTTTATTGTATTAGTATTCAGACCCATTTACTCAATATTTTGTGGAAGCACTATTGGCAGCAATTATGGCTCCAAGTCATTTTGGGTAAGTACCAAATTTGCACACCTGCATGGTGTGTATAACAAATCTTAATCTCTTCTTCAAAACATAATGACTGCAAGCTTTAAAGAATAAGAATGTGAAATGTGCAATCATTTGTGCATGTTAGAAATGTTTCATTTACTGAGTACACCTTTTAGAATAAATTAAACACCTAAATGGGTCAAAAAAAGTTCATGAGTTAAATGTGCATAGATTGCTGTTTGTTAATTACTGTCTCCTCCCAATTG